AGCGGCGAAACCGGTGCCCACGAAGGAGGCGGTAACGAAGACGCGGTCCAGGCGCATGGCACCACCTGGTGGTGGTGGTGGTGGTGGTAGTGGTGCTGCCGGAGCAGGCACCGCGAAGGGGAAGACCGTGAAGGCTGGAACAGGGCACGATTGTGATGCAGACAGAGCACGGCCGCGGCGGAGTAACGCCGTGTATGTGGTCACCCCACGTGATGTAAGTTAGATTACACAGCGAGAGCAGGGAGGGCGAGGAGACAGGAATCAATATAAGAGGAATTTATTCATAAGGGCACTTACACATATATGTCACGGTGCACATGTATTCATGTGTAACAATATAGATAACATGTGCCCATGGGCACTTTTTTAATGTCCATGTGCAACACGTAGGATAATGAATGGAACAAGTGGAAGACAGTGTTGGAAAATTTTAAGAAATATATGGATGAACACACAGACCTAGCGGCTGAGTATGGCGCAAACTGTGATAATAGTGGTTGGGATGATGTAAAGGACCAGCGGCATTATTACAAGGGACAAACAGTAGCAGATGTCGTACGGTGCAGAGTTATGAGTGTTGCATGGGCCTTCGCAAATGGGTGGGCAACTACTGGCAGCGCTAACACGGACGGGGTGGTAATGGATGCAGACGAAGAGAATATGTTCAGGTGTGAAGTGGCAAATATATTTGGACATTTACTGAAGGCAAAGTATTGTCCAGGGCAACGCGGATTTAGGCGGGGTGTAGAATATTCTCGGATAGCATTCATGAACATGAACAGCCCTGGAACACCTGGATTTGCAGCACTCGGGGGTCCTGTTATCGACGGCAGGTGTACAGCATGTGGGTACGGCGAGAATCGAAGGTGGGCACACGCCATAAATTTGAAAGTAGTAGAGTGGCTACTGAAGGAAGGAGGAATATTGGGAGAAATACAGGCAATGGAAAAGGCAATGCCGTGTGAGCAGAATTGGAAGGAGTATATTAAGCGGCTGGACCCCGGGCAGAAACCTATTAAGGGTGGGAACACGCATTCCAACAGTATCAAAGACCGTTTGAGCGAAGCAGGGAAGAAGAAGTTAGCAGAAGAGGAGACGCAGATGGGAGCAGCAGTCACAAAGATAATTGAGAAAGTGCAGGAATCACAGGAGGCTATAGTGAAGGCAGCAAAGGAGGCGTATGAGGAAGAGCACAAGAAAGCACAACAGGAAATTGCGGACGGTAAGGATACGCACATACGCCCGCATACGCATGCCAACGGATGGCACGACTACGTGGCGCGTATGTAGACCGTACGAATAGTAGGGATGGATGCCAACATAACGAAAACGCACACGCACGCGGGCAGCCACAACGCAAACGCACACGCAGTGGCACAACAACGCACACACGCGGCGACGACGAAATATAGACGAGGGACGGAGTGGGATGGCGACAACTACAAGTGTACTGCTATCACCTCCGTCCACCGAGTGCGCCCCCCTTCCTTTTTTGTGTTCATCCATCTGTTTTGTTTTTATCGTCCTTTCATCTTCCGTTGTCCTGCTTGCAGAGAAGGAACAGAGCAAGCAGGCAGATACGATGGATAACGCGAAGAAAACAGAGGGGACCAGTGAGAACAGGGATAAGAAGCAGAACGACAAGGCAGATCAGACACAGGGCTCATCGCCAACACCTATAGCACAAACACCATCAACATCATCAGGAGGAGCCGGAAGGTCAGATCCATCAGGTGCGGCAACACCTACCTCACCTCAGTTGCCATCAGTACCACAGTCCCCACCAGCAGGAACAGGACCGTCCTCCGAGGGGCAAGTACCAAAAGAAGTGACTGACACGACTACAAAGACGGATTCCTCAGGTAATACTGGTACGTGCACAACGGACGTTGATGAGGACACTCCGGGAGGTGGCCACATACCCATTTCCTTCGGCCAAGGCTCTTCATCCGGCTGCTCAGGAAGTAGTACCCTAGGTAGTGAGTCCGATTAGAAAAACAAAAAAAAACAAACACACAACGAACAATTTCCGCAGACAGAGGGAGAGACAACACGGAGAGAGAGCCAGAGAGAGAAAGCAAACGTCGAATGAGAACGAGCGGGCGGGAGCGTGTTTTAGGGCGAAGGTGATCAGCAGCGGCAGACCGAGACAACCGCGTCCGGCAGAGAGACGTAGAGACGTAGACGTCGACAGACGTAGACACACTGTGTGTGTGTGTTGTGTGTGCTGTGTCGGAGACAGAGAGAGTCTTTTCCCGGGGTGGCACCGTCCCCACCCGCGGAGGACAACCGTGAAACGACGGCAACGAACCGTGTAGGCGGTCTACCGTGCAATCCATCATGTGGTCAACGGACCGTGGTCGATCCACGTGTAGCCGAGCGTGGTCAAGCACCCGGTGCACCGTCGCATACACCTCAGATTACTTCTATATTCTTCCCATTGTCCTCCAATTCAATTGTTCAGGTGATAAGAATGTACCGGACGTGAGTGCCCCAGATCCCGGGTTACCTGCCGTTGCACGAGAACCCTCAGTTTCACAGAATGATCCTGCAGCGGAACAAAGTACGGACAGTATATCCATAACATCAACGGACGATAGTACTACAGCGAGAACCAATGATGAAAACAGGGACAGTGCAAATAATGACGGGACCCAAGCAGGGACTCAAGATAATGAACACGGAGCCCAGAGTCCACGGGATCCGGGTACGGACCACAGCACCCCTCCGGATGTACAAAAAGAGGACGACTGGGGCACATGGGATGCTACTACTGATTTCTGGGGAATAGGACAAATATACTCAGATCGTACAGGACGCACTGGTAAAGACGGGTCCCTGCCTGATGGTACCGAGGAATGTCGACAGAATGAAGGGCAGACTAGTTGTTGGAAAACTTATAAAAGTAAATATTGTCCCTCTGAAGGCAGTGGTAAAAAGTGCGATCTGGAAATATCATTTCCATCAGGCCCTGGGCCAACTAATCTTTCAGCAGGGTACGCACCACCAACCCCAGGAGAAACCGTATCCGGCTCATCGACTGACAACCGGGGTGAGAAGCCAGGTGACTACGCTGTTCCTGACTTAACCGCCGATATCCTTACCGCCACTACTCCCGTACTCTTCTTCCTGTCCGCCGTCACCGTCGCTCTTCTTGGTTATTCCCTTTGGAAGGTAAGTGCACTCTCAAGCTCACACAAGCGCACACACAACGCGCACACACAACGCGCACACACAACGCGCACACACAACGCGCACACACAACGCGCACACACAACGCGCAAATATAACCGAGTGGAAATGCACATTCGTTTCACGGCAACAATGTTCCCAAAAGGAACAATAACCAACCTACTATTTGGACGTGACTCCAACAAGAAAAAACACGCAATACTACCTTTAAAAAGAAAAAAAAAAAAAACAAAGAAAAAAAAAAGAAAAAAGAAGAAAACAAACCTACTAGAGACGTGCGTGCTTCAATGCCGGATACATCGTACATTGGCGGCAACTGACATTGGGCGCGTTCGACACAATATATTAGATATTTGGGTGTTCATGGGAAAAGGATATGAGTACGATGGTATGCAGTATTGGTATATATATGCTCTTGTAATTATGACGGTTTATTTTTCGGGAAGAAAAAAAAAAAAAAAAAAGCCCTAAAATGTTAAGCGTCCTAAAGTTCGTAAACTGCGAACATTAAACCCTTAATCTTGAATCCGCAACCCGGAATGCTGAATACGGATTACTCAAACCTTACAGTCCGGAAACAGTAAGCCTTGCACCCCGCATCTTAAATCGATATTCCGCAATCACATAATCCAGAACACTTAAAATCCCCGAACCTTACCATCCTTCCACCTCGCAATCCCCGAGCCTTAGAATCCCCGAAACTTTAAACACTAAGCCCTAAGCCCACAAGTTCGCTATACTTATCCTTTATTTATATATGCTCCGTACACTATTAATTAAATCCATTCACACCTTTTCAAAAACAAAATAGAGATACGGGTATACACGCATAAGAACGTTGTGAAACTATATTTCTGCATTTATTATTTATCACTACGCGTAATACATCTGAGAACGATATAAAGGACGACCCCCATAAATAATAAGCGGCCACGATATACATGTATAATTATGCGAATGCGTGACAAGAACAACCCCCCCTAAAACACTGATACAGTGTAACTTTTAGCCGGCTTCTGTACACCGGAAACATTTTTTCGTCGTTTCCATTTGTAAAGGGTATAATTTATGTTAGGCTTATTATGTGCCTCACCATTATACCTGACTTAAAGAGAGTAAAGTGTTATGCCACATATAAAATTTTGCTCCCGTGAATATGCTATTTGTTCCTATTACGCCGTTAACACAGCGACATCATGGATGAGCGCGTGCTGAATTTGTGATAAATGTTCACCCCTTTAATCAACTTTTACGTCGTACAGCATTTATCCAAAAATGGGTTCTTCACAGTGTTCTTCCATCCTTCCTTCTTCCCTTGTATTAGGATGCACGTAAGCCATTTATGCAAATCATACGTACGTATTTAGGTAAGAATAGTAAATCAAGTACCAAATTGATTCTATCAATGTTCACTATTGGCCGATGAAGAAAAGTGTTACGCGCTTAATCTATACACCTACATGTGGAAGAAAAAAAACAATAGTTCCATAATTTATACATATGAACAAAGAATATATCGCCTCTTCTAACATTTTCTAAAGGGAAAAGAAGAAACACAATGATGTTGCTTATGAAACTCTCTATATTTATTATGGCCCTGTGCTTTGGGAACATTGCTCACTGTGTATGATAAGAACCATTATATTTTGGGGAGTTACCACATTTATTGCAATAATATCTTAATGCCTTCATAACAACTATAAACCTGCGTATAATTGTTTTTGTACGCTCTACACCCTTCTGTACACCATAACAATCCCATATATTACCCCGTTTTTTTTTTACATGTTAGGCGAGTACACTAGGCACATCATCGGGCAATGGCACAAGCCAATATGGCACAGATGTTGGAACTGCGGCTGCAAGTACAATTGCAACGACCACCGTAACGTTGAGTGATGTAAAGGATATAGGGAAACAGGGTCAACGTAATATTTACGACGGTCGTGCGACGGGTAGTCCCGTGAAGAAAACGTTGTTCGATGACATGCGTAGGAAGTTAAAAACCAAGGTGCACGTCAAGAATCCAGGACCTGTAAAGAAGAAGCCACAGGGTGCAACAGCGCAGAACAAGCTGAAGGAATGTTGTCAGAAATTGAAACGTTGTAAAATGGGGAGAAGAGCATGGTCAATACTTATAGTAGTCGCCACAGTCTTGTATCCAGCACTGTCGTCCTTGGTAGAAACAAGTGCGATGGCATTTGGTTGTGCACAAGATGCCTGTGTAAGTAACTTCTTCACTGCGTCACTTCCCATGCTGATTCCGGTCATCTATTGCTGCGTGCTAGCAGCGTTTTTGTTCTCAAAAACAGCGAAATGTTTATTTGATAAATTTTGGAAGAAGGAGGAAGCTCCCACAGAAACGAAAAACAACGAAGGAGAAGTAAATAAGAAACCGGAGACACCCGGGAAGCAGAAGGTACCTGAAAAACCAGAAGTACCTAACAAGCAGGAAGCATGTGGGATATTAGAGGTACCTAATAAACCGGAGACACCCGGGAAATCAGATGTACCTCAGAAACAGGAAACACCTAAGAAACCGGAAACACCTAAGAAACCGGAAACACCTAAGAAACAGGAAGCACCCGCAGAAACGAAAAACAACGAAGGAGAAGTAAATAAGAAACAGGAAGCACTTAAATAGCCAGGAACATTTCAGAAACAGGAAGGACCTACGAAGAAGGAAGCACCGGGCACAGCAGGAGAATCCGAAAAACTGGAAGCACATAATAAACCAGAAGTACCAAAGACACCGGACGCACCCAAAGAAGCGGAAGCACCTAAGAAACCAGAAATACCAAAGACACCAGAAATGCCAAAGAAACCGGACGCACCCAAAGAAGCGGAAGCACCTAACAAACCGGAAGCAACAAAGAATCCAGAAGTATCAAAGAATCCAGAAGTACCAAAGAATCCAGAAGTACCAAAGAATCCAGAAGT